TTGTTTGTCTGGAATTATGACCGAAAGATACATAATGTACAATGTATGTTGTTTGTTTGTTTGTAATTATGACCAACAGATGCACAACGTACAATGTATATTGTTTGTTTGTCTGGAAGTATGACCGAAAGATACATAATGTACAATGTATGTTGTTTGTTTGTTTGTAATTATGACCGAAAGATGCACAACGTACAATGTATATTGTTTGTTTGTCTGGAATTATGACCGAAAGATGCACAACGTACAATGTATATTGTTTGTTTGTTTGTAATTATGACCGAAAGATGCACAACGTACAATGTATATTGTTTGTTTGTCTGGAATTATGACCGAAAGATACATAATGTACAATGTATATTGTTTGTTTGTTTGTAATTATGACCAAAAGATGCACAACGTACAATGTATGTTGTTTGTTTGTTTGTAATTATGACCGAAAGATACATAATGTACAATGTATATTGTTTGTTTGTTTGTAATTATGACCGAAAGATACATAATGTACAATGTATATTGTTTGTTTGTTTGTAATTATGACCGAAAGATACATAATGTACAATGTATATTGTTTGTTTGTCTGTAATTATGACCGAAAGATACATAATGTACAATGTATGTTGTTTGTTTGTCTGTAATTATGACCGAAAGATAGCACAACGTACAATGTATTGTTGTTTGTCTGTAATTATGACCGAAAGATGCACAACGTACAAGGTATGTTGTTTGTCTGTAATTATGACCGAAAGATACATAATGTACAATGAACTCCGTTTGTTTGTTTTTCTACCTGAAACTATGATAAAAAAATAAAACAATGTAACCCATCCGTATCAACCCTACTCCTCAAAGAGGACAACCCATCCGTGTCAGTCCTCTACTCTCTACACAACCCGCTCACAACCCTCCATGTCAACCCACTCACCATACCGCAGTGTTATAGTCAAAGCACAGAGATAATGAATTAAATTTAAGTAAACAGGGATAATCGACCCAAAACACGTAATTTCCTCTTGCTTAAAAATCTGCCATATATTCAGTCATAAAGCTATAAATTACGATGTATACCATGGTAAGAATACGTGGAGGTGTTCCAGATTTATTACATAAAATTGGCTTATCGTTATTATTATTATTTTAAATATGCGGTCTTCTTTCGTCCTCCGACTTAAGAAATAATTCGTTTGTCATCCAGAAGTTACCGTAGGACTAAAGTATGAAATTTTGATGTTTCATAAATCTAGGCATATGAACAAAATAATGTTCTCGGAGAGTTATCAACATATTTCGAAATGTGTGTTTGTAAAACTATATGAAAGACCAAAATCAAAACTGAAATACAATGTGTTTAGTATAGTTAAAGAACCAGTATCTCTTCACATGATCAATAACATTGACATTAATTAGTGTCCGAATGTTTCCTTACAGAAGCAAAGATGCCGTAAAACATCACTTCGTGATGACTCATTTCGCACTAAAACTAAGATTTGTACCAGATTTACAAAACATTACTAAAGCAAATATACCAGCATCAGTTACCAAATATTTCATTACAGTTATCTCTCTCTGTTGGCTTCGTACGCGGCCTTAGAACTAATCTGAGTCTCCTAAGCTTACCGAATCTTCTGAGATGTTATTGGGATTACGGACGCAAATATCGTTAACAGCGAGAGTGTCCAAAAGATGATTTATTGAAATTTAATATTATACTTGCTTTATTTTTGTTCGAGAGTGATTGATTTATAACATTTAATAAGCCTAACGATTTTATTTGATCGAATTGTTTTCATATTTGTAATTATTTAGTTTGATATTTACAGTACCCTTTAATTTCATAACCACTAGAATAATCAGACAGTACCATTTTATTTCTCAACCACTAGAATAAAAATATTAACAAAAATCAGACAGTACCCTTTAATTTCAAAACCACTAGAGTTAAAATATAATAAATAATCTTTAAATTAAGAATGAAACTTTCTTCAACTGTAAAACATGTGTTCAAGTAGTTGTTATTTTACAGAAACTCGAGTTTTGGTCAGTGATTTTGTTTCAGGTACTGGTTAGATAAACTAAATTATTTGGTTCCTAATTATAGTGCTGTTTTAAAATATAAGTTATTCTTCGGTTAACGACTCTAACATTTAATCCATCAATGTTTTATATATATATGCATATTCAAACGATGGCAAACATTTGTTTATTGGTTTCAGTATTGTTGTTCTAGTGGTTGGGATATTAAAGAGTATTGTTTGGTTTTGGCGTTAGTATTTTTATTCTAGTGGTTGTTGTTTGAAGTTAAGCACAAAGCTACACAATGCGCTATCTGTGCTCTGCCCACCACGAGTATCGAAACCCGGTTTCTAGCGTTATAAGTCCGCGAACATACCACTGTGCCACTGGGGGGCTATTCTAGTGGTTAATAAATTAAAAGACATTGTTTGATTATTGGTGTTAATATCCTTATTTCAGTGGTTGAGAAATTAAAGGGTACTGTCTGATTTTTGTTAATATATTTATTAAGTTAAAACATTTAATTGGAGGGGTGTAGGGTTTTGTGTGATGCGATTTAATTAAATTGTTCACCAAAGACAGAAACAAAAAAATCTTTTTTGTAGAAACTTTAAAAATTTTACGTATCTCTATGAATCAACACTTGAAATAGATTTTATTTAACGTAAAGAGTATTTATTGAACAACAAACGGAAAGAGTTAGCGACCAGGTTATCAGTTACTAAAGTTTAGTTGTTCTCCAGATATGA